AGGCTGGACTTCGGGGTTGCAAGTTATACGGCTTAGGGGTTTGGGGTTTAGGGGTTTAGAGCGTTTAGGGGTTTAGGGGTTTAGGGGTTCAGGGGTTCAGGGTTTAGGGTTTAGGGTTTATGGGTTCAGGGGTTCAGGGGTTTAGGGTTGAGGGTTTAGGGTTCAGGGTCTGGGTAAAGGACCAGGGGGCTTAGTAAGCAAGATAGTAAGTGGTGCAAAATAGGAGAGAACCCTGTTGAGGATACTTCTAACCCACTCAAGAACATACTTACTAAGGCCGGGATCGCTCAAGCAGTTTGAGTGTCTAGAGTTTAGCTTCGGTCGAATAGACTATGACAAAGGACCCGAGCTAGTTTGATCTCTGCTCAGTGCTGGGCCCCTGCTTGTGCTGGACATTGCAACCGCAATGCTTTCATCGGCTTTTGCACCGGATGCCTCAAGACACTAAAACCTGAACCCTAAACCCTGACATCTAAGTGGCCAAGAGAAGAGCCTTACTGGCCCGTAAAGTTTGAGTCATCTCCTGCGGCCTGCGGGCTCTTTGTCCAAGTCAGGATCTGCCACCCACAAACAACCAACAAAACATATAGGTACACTAGCAGATGTTCAAAGAGAAACCCTTTTTGCATTCACCAAAACCCTCAATATAAACCGCCACTTCGTGCAAAATCGGATCTACATACCGACCCAGATGCTCGTTCAAGCAGACGCTCTTGGGCCCTATCCTGGCCTGGATGGCATTGTTGATGTCGATCAGCAACGGCGAGTCCTCGTCAATACCTTGCAAGCTCAGTGCGTAGAGTTTAGGCGACAGCATTCAACAGAAACAGAACTCTACTATACGCTAAACCCTAAATCCTAAACTCAGTATGCACTGAACCCTAAACCCTAAACTCTACTATACCCTAAACCCCTACTCCCCGAAAGCAAGACCGAAATGCTTCGGATTTAGGGCTGATTGAGGTAAAGACAATCCTGCAGCAGCGGGGCAAAGTTCGACCCTCAACTTTCGAACCAACCCTGAACCCTAAACCCTGAAGCCTAATGCCCACGGCATAAACCCTAAACCATACATCCCAGGCCTCAAACCCTAAACCTTCAACTGCAAACGGGAACGCCAAAACAAACAAGGACAAATGATGCTACCGGGGGGGAACCTAGTACAACCTTGTCGCACCCTGCAACGCCCTTTTTTAACACCACAGAAAAAACACACACAAAAACAAAAATAATAATAATAATAATAAATACATTAAGTGCGGTAAGGGAGCCGTCGATTGGGCAGTCCCCAATGTCGCCCTCGCCTTTCCCTCGCTTCCTGCGGAGGAAGAGGTTCCTACTTTAGGGTTTAGGGTTTAGGGTTTAGGGTTTAGGGTTTAGAAGACGTCTGTGGGCTTCTCAGTTGCTTTGTGAAGTGAACTTCAGCTACCATTGCAACGACATCGTGCCCCCTACTTCATATCTCTAACACAGCCACTTAAGTTCTGAAGTTAAGTAAGAAACCACTTTCAGGCGTCCCGGGTCCAAGGTACGCGTGAACCCTAAACCCTAAACCCTCACGGCTTAGGGTTTAGGTTAAGGGTTTAGAGTTTCTGTTTTTGGACGATGAAGAGACCACACACCTTGTGAAGAGCCTGGCCTAACTTCAAACAATTTCACGCACTGTCCTTCAGTAACTGGCCTTTGGGGTAATCGGGAATAGCATGAGTGAGAGTGCTGTAAAGCCGTCGGCCATCTGCTTAAGAAGTCCCTAGCTACCGCCCCGGAAGTCATCTAATAAGCGAACTACGTCCCTGTGCAGCCAGTACCTAGCTGCAAAAATGTGCAAACAGGCAGACTCCCTCCTCAGCACCCTTCAGAAAGCCAACGACCCACAGCCCCTTAAGCTTCATGTAAAAACCGAGACCCTAAAACCCGATGCATGCATGCTGGCCTGAAGGTGATCAGCAAAGTTCCAACCTGGATGATATTTAGTTTTGCAGGGGTGTTTAAGCATTACTACGGGGGTCCTTGATAGCTAGACTACGCCCAATATATGTATGGAAGGACAATAAGGGAAAGCTTTCACTACATTTTTCAGACCGATAGAACAAGCGTACGGGAATCGGCTAGAGGTCTTTGGATAACCTGAGGGCTCAGATCTCGCTTTTTGCTCAGCTTCGCTTTTGCTCAGCGGCTGATACTGCGAGTCTACGTTTTGAAGAGACTCCAACTATCCCTTCAGGAAGGAACCTTTACAAAGGAGGCCCACTATAGCTTAAGGAATAGATTCCTTCTTTGAGGTACTTAGGAGCCCCTGACTTCGGGCTTGAGCTCCTGATCCCTCAACCCCAATCCCTGGACCCTTAGCAAGCTCTAGATAATCCTTACTATCAACCTCTAATCATCCCTTCATTCCCTTACGCCCCAAACTGTCAAGTCCCAAACACCTCAAACCCCAAACCTACAGAACCCCAAACCGCTCCAAAACCTCCAAAACCCTCACTCCATGACCCTTCTCTGAGGCGGGTGGGTTCCTGTCAGGGTTACCATAAGTACTACAGGGGTCCTATTCCCCAAAGCTCTGCTCTGAGGCGGGCGGCCGTCTTCCCCTTGTACTGAAGCTTGAGCTTCTGCTTCTTCCCGAAGAAGGACTCGGCCTTGTCCAGCATGTCCTCAGCTTGGGCAGCTTGCGAGTTTGGGGGTGTGGGGCTTAGGGTTTAGGCATGTTGAGGGCTTAGGGGTTTAGGGTTCAGGGGAACCGAAGCCCCAAACTACCAGTCGCGAGGCCTTCTTCGTGTCCAAAGAGTAGGATGCCACCTTCGAGTCCTGCCGTACAAAACCCAAAAGGTTTTGGACTTGGGCATCAAGTTCTGCATGGTGACTTTAAACGGTTGAGAAGGGTTCGTAGGATGGGACGTTTGGGGTGAAGTGTGCATACAGGCCTCTTAGAGGGTTTAAAAAAGGTTCTGTAGGGTGTAAAGAGGTTTGTTGAAAGTCCAACACGGCTTCGGGCTCGAGACGAAGGAGCCTTGAACACGGCATCAACCGAAGTGCAGCAGTTTGCAAACCCACGGGTTCTGCTGATTGGTATGGGCTTTATGAAGGTCCGGAGGTTTCAACTGAAAGGGAGTCAAGCTTGAGGGCTTGAGAATGTCGGATGGGCAGGGTTTGTCTCAAGCATGTGTTGCGGTTTGTCCCAAAGGCCCCCAACATGACATAAAAACCCTGACACCCCCCAAAAGCTGAAACCACAAGCCAGACAATTCTGAAACCCGAACGGCCGTCCTTGATGGTCCCCAGTGACCAGAGGCTGATAATCCCTTCGGCGGCGCCTTGGGGTATCTCCTGGGACTGTGGGACATGTTCGGTTGAGTTTATCGAAATCAGAGTGCAAAGAAGGAGGCCGTATAATTATATTAGACTATATAATTAGAATGAGGAACCCTCCTCGAAGACGGGACGTCTTTTTGGATTTTGTGGTGTTTAGGAAATGGAGACGTCAGGGTAGGCTCAGAGCTTCAGGGTGTTGGGACCAGAGCTGCGGGGCTTAGAGGGGGGTTGAACGGGTCTAAGGCTCTTGTTAGCTTTTGGTGCTTCGGGGTTTGTCAACTGCAGTCTTGGGATGTATAGAGCATTGGAGGCTTGTGTAATCCCAAACTTCAGGGTTTGGGAGTTTCCAGAACATTGGCGACTCTAAAATAGATCCAAAATACTTGGAAACGGAGCCAGTACTCAGAAACCCCGCGTTTTTGTGTCGACTACGATACGACTCGAAACCCTAAACCCAGAACCCTAGACCGCGTCTGCAGAAGAGTCACTAGCTTCTTCGTCTGCTCCCAGCGCATGTCCTGCTCCGGAGCACATTGCCGGCTTCGTGAGGAGAGTCCGCATGAATGACAGCAGCATCGTGGCAAGCCAAACGTGCATTCAAAGGCCCTCACGTCTGTGTGACTTCATCAGCACGCCTTCACTGCTAGAAGCTGCTAGTTTCTGTGTGCTGCATGGAAGCTGTCCTGGGTCCCTGAGGTCTCCGTGTTGCTCCAGTTGAAGCTTGCCTGCCCAAGCGTTTAGGTTGAGGGTCTGGTTCTAGGGTTTGGGGTTTGAGCTTTTGGGTTCGGTTTGAGGTTTAGACTTTTGGGTTTGGGCTTTGGGGCGCTGATGTCGGCCTGAGACTTTTAAGTCGCAAGAAGCCATTCAAGCCCGGAGCCCGAAGCCCAAGATCCCCAGGTCCAAATTCTCACAACAGGGATCCGAGTTTGACTTGAGTAGCTTAGGCGCAGGGCTCACACCCTAAACCTGGCATGCCTAGGTTCGGGCATTTAGGGTTTTGGGTGTTGGCGATGCGGCCGTGCTATCAAAGCGCTCGGGGGCTGTAGGTGCTGTAGCCTGCGGGCTCAAGGTGTCGGGATAGCAAATCATCCTGAGCATGAGCCTATTCCGACGCTGACTGTCAAGACCCGAAGAAGGCTTGTAAGTTGTGTAAGTGCACGGACCATCCAAATGTCCAAAGCTGGGAGCAGCTCAAAAGGAAGCATAGCCAGAGAGCCTGACATTCTTCGTGATGCAATCTGCTTTGATCTTTCTTACGAATCCCTCCATATGTTGCTAGCACACCCTTAATCCCTAAACTCCCTCCCTTTACAAGGTCTGCTGTGTGGCTGAAGGGACGAAACCCAACATCGAAGGAGTCTTGGCGCGATGGGGACATTTTGCGCCCTCTCTTCCTCCCCATCTCCGCACCTTCACCTTGAACTCCTTCTTGCCGAACCTTGAAAACTCGTGTTTTTCAGGGGCGCCTGGGGAATCATGGCCTCCTGCTTTGGGTCTTCTCCGAGAGTTTCGGTTGGGGTTCAGCGGCTTGGCCTGGGGCTTGGGGCTCTCCAAACCCCAAGACCTGCAGTGCTGAAGCTCACGATCCAGCCCTTCAGTTGCTGGTCAAGCAGCAGACCGTCGTTCTGGATGTCCTGCAAAGAATCGGCAGAATTCCAGCCATCGGGTTTGAAGTTTGGGCGCTTGACATTTCGGCTTCAAAGGGTTTAGAGATACCCCTCGGAAGCAGAACATGAGATTCAAATTAAGATTCCTTTTGGGCGAATCTCGACTTCGTGGGGAGGGGCGGGCCATACACGCTCGGACGGATTGGGGACGAAAATCAGGTGGCACCGAAACGAAGACCAATAATTAGTCAAAACCTTGGCAAGCCAGGCCAGAATCGCGCGCCATCGTGTTTCGGACCCCATTCTGCGCCCCGAGCCCATCTCCAAAGGTTAAATCACAAGCCTGAATCCCCAAAAGAATCCACAACAACTAAACCTGAAGTCAACCCACAGGCCGCAGTCCTGCACGCTGTGCACGCTCATCAGGACTTCGAAGGTCTCAAACCTCGGCGTTTGGGATATAAGCAGTCTCATCATGAAAGGGATCCGATGTTGAGGCAGTGCAGTGCAAGAAGCGGTTTGCTGAACAACTTTCACATGCCAAGCCAAGCTGCTCATCCCAACCCCAGGCCAGTAGGCACTGTGCGATGATCTTGAACCTGCAGCAAAGTGATGATTAAGTAGATCTTCAGCTTCGGAAGCGAGCATAGGGCCGGGTGATGGGGCTTGAGAGAATGGAGCGTTAGCCAGTGCAGGCATTTGCAAGTTTGCACCCCATATCTGGATTCGAAGCTTGACTCCGTCATGCGCAGTGCTGCGGAGAAGTTTACCAGCTGCTCCCTGCTTGCGAGCAGTGCCAGGCGTTCGTGCAAGCGCGAGGCACTGTAACTAAAGATGCGGGGATCTGCCACAACTAATGCAAGAGCATCCGCAAGCGAGAAATATTGTCGCAGAAGCTGCATCTTGGGTCTCAAATTCCTGGACAGGCTCAGCGACATGATGATTGGAAAGCGACGAATTAGATGCTTGATATCCAATCTGCTCGCACCGATGCAGACAAGCCAGCTCACCATTGGCTCCAAGCTGTTAGAAACGCTGCCGCAACCAAACGACTGTGGATATTTCGAAACGGCCTTGGCAACCTCGCTGTCACTCAAGCCCAAGCCCTTCAACCAGTTCACGCTTCGCTGCAGATTCTCGCCGATGCTGTAGCCCAAAAGCTGCGGAAATCTGGAAACTGCCTTAGCAACTTCGTTGTCACTCAGGCCCAGGCCCTTAAACCAATCCACGGTTGGCTGCAGAT